TAGTATACTTTAAAACAGTGGTTCTCAACCTGTGTAACCTCAGGACCCACATTTGTCCTTGGTCATTGAGTCGTGACCCAAGTCATAAAGCACTGGAATGCATAACACTGCGGTACCGTGCATTCCAATGTGGGCGATCGAACTGTGGGCAGGAGGTGCGTTTGTGGTGCCATTCAAATCAATGGCAAAGCAATGCACCTCCCACACCAGAACGTGAGGTAGGTGCAATTGCATGGTACAGTGCATTAATCACAAGGAACTGTGTAATAACGCACTGTACTAGTGTGAATGGGCCCTCAAAAACACTGACGGATACACACAACCACAGACATTTTCACACACACACATACTCCAACATTTTTTTATATCTTTTTTTTTTTAAATCCACCCAGTTTCCCTACAGTATGAGAACGGGAGTGGATCCTCAGTCTGCTTGTACAGCTCCCTTGCGCGCACTGTAGAGGTGCTGGGAGCCAGAATGTGACGTCACTCTGGTCCAGGCACCTCTACAGGGCACGCAAGGGAGCTGTAAGCAATGCACGTATGGACTGTAAGGGTTCATTTTTACAGCTGTAAGCAATGCACGTATGGACTGTAAGGGTTCATTTTTACAGCTGTAAGCAATGCACGTATGCACTGTAAGGGTTCATTTTTATATTACCTTCTTTAACCTTCATTTGAACTTATCTTAGTTTTTCTGTAGAAATGCTGACTGCAATTCCTAAATATGAGAAACAAAAGACTAACAAATGAAATATAAAATAGTCAAATACAGCAAGCATGTCAAAAAGGGCCAATTTACACCAATGTGTGGTAACGTGCGCCACACATGTTAATGCACCATGCACATGTCAGTGCATTGTGGTGCCATTAAGTTTCAAGGAAACACACGTATTGGAATGCACTGCAATGCACTACCATGTGTTACTAAAAATGCTGCATGTCTGTTTTTTTGTCCATTTTGGTGAGTTGGCAGACAACACAAATGAATGGACTGACTTAATGCAACATACAGTACATTTGGTTCCCTTTATATATTCTTTATTTAATGTTTTTACAAAAAAAAAAGATACACTAAAACTTACAATAAAGAGAACAGACATCCACCTGGAACAGCTTTCTGGTTCTCACATTTCATTATATTGAGTACAGTTAAACAAATGTGGTCAGAGGTGACATACAATATAGCTTCTTTTCTCATTTCATGATTCAATTCATATTCTATTTCCCTTTCTTTGATGGAAGACCTTTCCAGCGATCATCTATTGCCTGCAGTCTAAGCCCTAAACGAGTCATCTCAGATGTCCCAGGCAGCAGCCATTCACCCAATATCCACACACCTCCCTCCTCTCCCCCTCACGCCCCCTCCACCCACTCTCCATCAACTTGTGCAAATCCCTTTGCATGTATATTTATATATCCCACCTGCTTGTTTATGTGCAATATCTCAAGTGCATAATTTCTTTGTTGTATACAGGTGCCACCTCGCAATCCGTTCTACTACCTTAAAAACATACATTAACATGTGGCATAACGTGCTGGAACCCAACACACCAAAACAGCATGGTGTGAATAGGCCACATAAAATATATACAAGCTGTGATATACAGAATTTGATGAATATATGTTTCTATTGTTCAGTGATCCAGTACCTCCCTCTGTGCCTCAGTCAGATGTATATCGGCTCCTTCATGATGACACAGAACATGAAAGCAGGCCCAAGCAGTCTGGCTCCTTCAGGGTACTGCAGGACATGGTTGATGATGATGCTGGTTAGTAGGTCTATTTTCTGTATTATGATTGATACTTATTGGTCATAGAAGATACAGATGCATGCCTTTACACAGGCATACAGATACTGCATATTGAATACTTAAACAAAGATTTCAAACTTGGTATGAAATATTCAGAAATACGCAGAGTATCTAATCATGACATTTGCTTTTGTTTTAGAACGTCCTACAGGTACAAGAAGCGTTAGAGCTCCAGTCACAAACCCCCACGTAGGAGGTGCAGCTGTGCAGAAAGTTCCACTGTGTGACCGATGTGGAAATGGAATAGTGTAAGTATTTGTGAAAGGTCACATCTAATTTTATGCTGCTTTGTTTCTAAAGTGTATTGTGTGTCTTTAACGTGACCCTTGCTTTACGTTAACAATCCTAACTAACGGCACCTGTGCACAGTCTGTAGTAAATTCTTTCCTAACCCCCTCTCTCATATCACACCTCTCTCGTAATTCCTAGAGAGCACATGTGAAACTGTGTAAAAACTGACGTTTAACAAGTAATGCTGCCGAGTATGCCTGTGTGCAGCAAGCCTACCTATGTACCAAAATACCATCCCTCCTATCCTAACTGGCTAAAACTATACATTTTTCTATTGGCTAACTTAATTCTATTGGCTAGTTCATTAAGGGACACAGAGTCAGAAGGTTGTGGAGATGTATGGGATGTCTTAAAGCAGTCCAGCTGAGGGGTGAGCAACACTTCTTGGGATGGAAATAGCTTGCCTTGCACCATGCAAAGTATGCTTTCCAAGTGCAATGGTAGATATTTGCGTGAGGTGGATCTCCTAGCTTTGTGGAGGTCCTTGGGACAGAAGATCTGGGTGATCTAAAAGAGACCATGGAAAGTCTGCCAGTAGTCTGATGAGATCTGAGTACCACATCCACCTGGAGGTCTATGGTGGTCGGGTGTCTCCAGTGGCTACGTGTTTCGAGGAATCCCTCTTTATCAAGCCTGAAAGATGCTCTGATAAAGAGGGATGCTTGATAAAGAGGGATTCCTCGAAACGCGTAGCCACTGGAGACACCCGACCACCATAGACCTCCACCACCTGAGACCTCCACCGCCCACACCGCTACCGATCCAGACCAACGACGCACGGCGTGCCCTAGCCGCGTGTAGCTCCTCCCCATCCTTCCGTCTTTGTCCGACGCGGCTCGGCCCGGCCAGCCGAGTCCGTGGGTGGCCATACGGATGCGCACCTCCAAGTGATCAGCCTGCTACACCACCGGTGACACCCTTGCGATCCTGGACCTTCCAAAGGAGGGCGGCATATAGATCACGGGGGAACCTCGAACTGTAAGTCCCTTTGTCCACTATTAACAGTGTCACGGGATTTTTTCACATACTAAGATCCATCTACTATCTGTACTGCATATACCTATCCACGTCCTTTTGGTAGTCGCGCTCCTGTCCTACTTTGTCCATATCTGCAATTTTGAATAGACAGGGTCCTCTCCCTGTACCGAGGAGCTGCTGCAGACCCTTACACAATAGTCACCTAATTTTAGTGTGCCCACAGGAGTGCGCTTTATCCCTTTTTTTGTATTTTTCTGAGAGTGGAAATGAAGCAATTGAGTCAGATACAGATGGACTGAGTGCCCAACTCCCGGAGGTATCTTAGATGACTTGCCCGTATGCTGCTGCTCACAGCCGTGCATCTTCCCATATTAAAGATGGGCGCATGACGGCATCCGTTCTTGTATCCTAGTGACAGCATAACTTCCTGCCTGCGCACCGAGCATTATGGGAGCTGTAGTTTCACTTTTACAGAGCCACCGTGACAGCAGTGGGTGAGTGTGTCACGTAGGGGGTATTGGATTGTTTTATTGCTGCGGTGTGTCCCACGGTCTGTCCCAGTGTTCTATCATCCCATCGGACCCGTAACTTTAATCCGATCTGATAAAGTCACGGGTCCGATGGAATGATAGAACACCGTAACTTCACGGACGTCACAATACAGGGGAAGCCCTGGGGTGGACTGGCAGACCACGGGAGGGGCCCCAGCAGCTTACTGTGCCGCAGGTCCCCTTCATGCAGCCTGAGCTGCAATAACTATACATGGGACCAGAGTTAGTCTCAAGTGTCAGGCTCCTGCCAGCAGGTAATTGAGGGGGACATAGAGATGGGTCGGGTGCCGTGTGTGTGTTGTGGCTATATGTGTAATGTCCTGTGCATTGTATTGTGGCTGTATGTGTAATGTGCTGTGCCCCGTGCCCCGTGTGTTTGTTTGTGTTATGTAGGGCAACTAGTGGCGAGTTACTTTTCAGGCCTGGCTAGTAGCTCATGACCTGAAATTTTGAGCCCTGATAAGCAGGTCTGCTATTATTTGAGCCGCAAGACTTCTAGCTCCCTCCTGGTGGTTGATGTATGCCACTGCTGTGGTATTGTCTGACTGAATCTGGATCAGATAATTGTGCAGTCGAGAGGTCCAGTGATCAAAAGGCAATCAAATCACTTGTAGCCCCAGGTTGTTGGATATGGAGATGACCTTCCTGTGGTAACCAAGTTTCCTGCAACGACAGGGTGTCCAGGACTACTCCCCAGCCTGTCAGGGTAGAATACGTCGCAAGAACCTTCCGGACTGAGGGATGGAAGGATTTTCACAATTCCAGGGCTAGATTCATGAGCCGTCAGGCCAGTTATAACCTGGTCTTGGGTGTCAGGCGCATATAATTGTCCAGAGAATGTGGCTTTTGTCCATCGGAGCCAAAATGATGGGTTGCAATGTTTGGAGTGGAATTGTGGATATTGTATTGCTTCCACCGAGTTTACCATCAACTCTCATGCAACATCGGAGAGTTAAGGTGGCCATACACTTTACAACCATCGCAAGACCTTAGTCTTGCGATGGTTGTAAAGTAGTTAAAAAAAACGTACGATCTGCCCATCTTGGACAGGCAGATCGCAGTTACGTCATCGCAAGCCCGCCCCCCTAAGGGGCGAGGGCTTCCGATGACCGCAATGCTGAACGGGCAGTGTGCGCGTGCGCACACCGGCCCGTTCGGCATTTGTCTCCCGAGCACCATTCAAACCAGCCGAAAATCGTAAGATTTTCGGCTGGTTTTCTAGCATGCTTCTTAGACAAAAGACGTGCGACCGTACATTAGAAACGGTTGCAGGTCTTCATTCACACTGCACGATTCTCGTACGATCGCGGGATTTCCCGTGATTCTCATACGAGAATCGTGCAGTGTATGAGCACCTTTAGACAGCTCCTGAACAAAGGATTGGAGATTTGTGGAAGAAAAATTCTGGAATCAGTAGTATCTAGGAGAAGACCTACATTCTCCAAGTGATGAGTCCGACTTCTAAAAGGTTCACGATCCAACCGATCCTTTAAAGTGTCTGAACAGTCCATTGGACAGTGGCTGATAGAGCCTGGGACACATTGGTGTGATGCAGTAACAAATTCAGAGGGAAGTTGTGTGACACATTTTAGTGATGCAGAGTCATTCCCTCACAGAGTCTGCGACACATATTTGTAGATGTCAAAGCACTAGAATCTCAAGCATTAACCCCATAGGAGGATCAGTAAGAGATTATTATGACATGACAGGCTTCCAAAAAGGGGCAAATCCCCTGAAGCTTACCCCACTGTGGTCTGAAAGAGTGTTCTGTGGCAAATAGACACAGTAGTTAATATCAAAAAGTGCCAGTGCAGGGTAAAGCTGCTCAGTTCAGACAATCTACAGTGGGCATAGTGCCAGGGGAGTCTTAAGAAACAGGATGCTACCAGTGGGCTAACTAACAAAGTACACTAGGTGTCTGGAGTGCGCCACATGCAGGACCCAGTGCTTGAGGGTCACACTATGGGTTAGCCTAGATCTTCATCATGGCGAGGACATGGTACAGCTTCCAAGGTACCGCCAAGGATCGACCAATCTGGAAAACTGCAAGATAAGCTCTCATGGATCTGCAGTTAACAAAGAATCTTGATTGAAGCATGAGAGTGGAAGGGGCTATATCCTGGTTGACTAACTGCTTTTATTTGCTAGAGTCCAACAATCTTGTATGCAGCAATATAACCCACATGTCACATAATCCTTCTGACCCTGTTATGTTAGGAATGATTAGGAAAATATACCAATCCAGTTGCGATAAGTGTACATATAAATGCTCCCTAAAAACTTACTATTGTTCATATGTTTAGAAAAATGGCACAATAAAGCAAACGTGTTTCACGATATGTTTCTCTTCTTGAATTATCTAACACAGAGGCACTGTGGTGAAGGCCCGAGACAAGTTCCGTCACCCTGACTGCTTTGTATGTGCAGACTGCAACCTAAACTTGAAACAGAAAGGATACTTCTTTGTGGATGGCCAGTTGTACTGTGAAGCCCATGCAAGAGCACGGATGAGACCACCAGAAGGATATGACGCAGTTACTCTCTACCCAAAGGCTTAAATAGCTGTTAGCTTTAACACAATGCTTATATGCAAGTCCTTCATATTTTAGGAATGAACATGGAATATATAAGTAAATGTGCTTTCAGATGATATAAAGATGGAAGTTCATCAGTAATGCAAAACCTGAAAGCCCTGGGGAGAAAATCATTAAATTCACAAACAATAACAGACAATGAAGGTTTTGACTAAGGGCTTGTTCACACCGAAAGCGTGTGCGTTCCAGAGCGGTAGCTGCTGGAACGCACTGCAAACCCTAAGAAACTTCCACCTGGGTCCTGGGTCAAGAGGGGGCGTGGCGGTGCATTGAATTCAATGGCACCGCTTCCACGCCGCAGTGCGATCAGACGCATGGCAAAACTTTGCCAGCATTCCGTTCCACTGCAAACGCAAAAAATAGAGCAAGCGTCCGATCGCACTGCTGGCGGGTGGGGGGGGCGCTTGGAAATGGTGCCATTGAATTCAATGCACCGCCACGCCCCCTCCCGCCCCAGGACGCGGGGGGGGGAAGTTTCTTAGCGATCGCAGTGCGTTCCAGCAGCTTCTGCTCTGGAACGCACATGCTTTCGGTGTGAACAAGCCCTCAAGCAAGAGAAAACTATTTCTAAACAGCTGTTTCTATTTAGCTGCTGAAATTTTTCAAACTAACACTTTTAAAAATTCTTTCAGCCACAAGGTACAGCCTATTATATAGTTTTGCATTTATCGTTTTATGTTTAGAAATCCACTGCACAGTTACTAAATGCCAGCTTTAGAAAAGAAATAGTTGCATTTGCACAAAGCACGTACCACACTAAATATAATTTAGCTTGTATGTTATAGGAATCCAATTCACATTTTATGAAATTTAAATAAAGATTCAAATGTTTACATAGGAAGGATGTTATCTTACACCAGTGATAGCTACACAAAAGATAGTAATAATGCAAAAAAAAAGTGCTATAATAATAAGAAGCCTACTATATCTGAATAACCTTTTGTTTGTTTGTATTGAACAAACAGCATCCTTTTTCTAGTCCATTTACATGGCATGGCGCTAAAAACTGTAACACTGTATTATGAAATTCATCAGAACTTCAGCAAATACAGAAACTGACAATACTGTAGGCTTGTCACTGACAAAGTCAATATTAGATTGGACTGCTTTAAAATATGCACTGCTTTATTATGTCTGGTAAAATTTCTGTAACAAGCACATTTAGTGATATTTGGATATACGGTATATATATATATATCGTGGATTAATATAATTCTTTAATAGCCCTACAAAGTTTACTAAAAATATTCTGCACTATGTCATTTCTGCATGACTAATGGGATATACTCTCATGCCCTAAGACTGCAATTCCTGCTTTAGAAATTGTATGTTCTTTTTATTTTTTTACGTTTGTGATTTCAAATCCGTGTGTCTATTATTTTGTTATATAATGCAAAATAAAAGTTTTTAAAAAGTGATCTGTTTAAATTGTATGAGCATATTCAGCACCTTTCGGGAGAAATTAATACACAAAACCATATCAATTACACACTTGTAAAAAAACACCATAAAGTTCTACTTTTCATTGCATGGAAAACATTGTGCTAATTTTATTTTCTCCAGCTTTAATATAAGCAAATGTATGGATTCATTTTTGAATTTTAGTAAGAGCAGTACTTATGTGGGACACTGTGCAGTCTAAAATTTTCATTTTTCTTTGGTATTATATTATTGAAAATGCTTTACCACCATAATCCTATACCATTTATCTCCCGTAATACATAGAGAGCTAAGATAGGAATGTTCTCAGGTGTATGGCTTAATGGTTTAAGACCAAATTTCTTGAAACAATTTCAAAATGAAATGCAAAAATCAGAATTGATTTATTTTGAAAATAGAGATTGCCTGGTATTTTGGGTCTATCTATACATACAGTAAACCAGAAACTACAACATGGGGGATGCGAACACTGTCAGCTACACTACATGCACATTGCATTTCTGCACTGGGTACATTTAGAGATAACTAATCCAAATTGTGAACACAGGAAAAGTGCACACTACTACTTGCACTGAAAGTACCTAAACTGAACATGCGAAATTCTGGTGGGTTTAGTTAAAAGCAGTAATATGCACTTCAAATGTGTTAAGTAGGGTGCACGTGGTTAGAATTTCAAACACACAAAATCAATTTCGGAACGTTTGTTTGACTGTCTAACAATGGAGATGCCACGAGAGCACAGTATGGATAATACTGGGGCCAGCACCGTGGTGAGATCCTGAGGTAGTGATAAGAGGCTGAAGGCAGAGCCCTAAACTATTACTGGTAAAGTGGGGATATGTAGGTGCATGAAATGTGCAAGCTGTTCAAGTGTCTGCAAAGTTTAACAACGTCTTCCCTCTCTGGAATGTAGGGACTCAGCTTTATGCTGGCTTGTTTGAAGATTTGGCATTTGACAGAACATATGGGTTATTTGGAGGCTAGCTTGAGGGGGTCCCAAAGTGGAGGGTGCAGGAGTGGAGATACAAAAAGGAGGTTTCTTAACAATTAAAAAAAAGAGAAGGCTTCGCAGCCTGATCCTTAAGCTTTTTACACTGAGAAAGATGGGTGCTTTTGCCACCAGTAGCGTTCTTAAGATGGTATCAAGTGCAGATTTGCTGTGGACCATTGGCAGTAGCCCACCAGGTAAAAAGACCAAAAGGGCTAAAAAAAAACAACATTTCCCCAGGAGTATTTATCAATCCAACTGTGTGGATGGGTCAGCCCCTGGTTCTTTAACCCCTTCACGACCAACGACGTACAGTGTACGTCGCTGGAACCGGAGCTGTTTCAACAAAAGCCCCTGGGACTCTGTTTACACTTGTAAAGCCGATTGTCGGCTTTACAGTAGAATCGATTCTGGCGGCTCAGCGGCCGCCAGATCGCTTCTACGGGCCAGTAAATGGGTGTTCACTAGTCATGAAGGGGTTAAGCAACAATGGCGGAAGGCTGCATGGCCATCACTGCAGGTGGTGGAGAGGTGAGGTAAAATAGCAGGTTTAAACCTCACCGAGATGCTGATCCTGCTGCAGTGTACCACAGCTTGTGTATTTGTAGCGCCAACATCGTGAGCCTGAAGCCAACACAGGACAGTGAGAGAACTGCAGCACACTATAGTTGCAGTTCTGCAGCCCAGGGAAAGCAAAGAAACCTAGTGCATGCGGGGTAGCACTTGCCCCAGGGTGTGCCCCTACAGTGTGACACAGGGAGATTAGAGATGCAATATTTCAGTGTGCTCTCTCCTAATTAGAGCTGCCTGCAACTTCTAGCGCAACTAGAGAGAAAAGGGGGAAAAAGGAAATTAGAATCATAGAATAATTTCTGAAATATAGCCCGCAGCAGAAAATATAAAGTAGGGCTCTCCTTCGCAAAGTGAATACAGTATAAAGTAAGTCCAGAATAAAAGGAGAACTTTAACTTCCCACATAAAATCACCAGTCGGCTAGAGTTGCTTCTGTAGCAAACACCATATACATGGCCTCAGTACCAAACTAAGGAAACCACAACCCAGTATAAGCTTGCTAAGTCCTCGCAATGATATTTTGCAGAGACAAGGAAAGGAAAACTGCCCCAGCTCAGGACCAATATCTCCATGAGGAATTTCCTGATTTGAATAGCAGAGTCCTGTGTGAACTGGAACACAGACAGGCAGTCACTGCCGACTACGTAACTGTCACAGAGAGAACACTAGTATAGATAAACTGGTAACCTGTACTGCTTGGCTAACTGAAGAGCTTTCCAGGATTTCCCTATCCGGCCTTAAGCTACCATGATGTATAGGATGTAAGGGGATACTTGTGCATATTCAATGCCACTTTATTGTTTTTTTGTAAAAGTAACAGTACACAGTAATCATGGATGGCTTATTATCAGTCCTTTTATAACCACCTTTAATCTGATAACAGATGAAGTATTTGCATGTTGCAGAAAGGATGTTAGTGTTTTCATAAATAAGCATTTGAAGCACCAAAAATGGGTGCTCATATGTAGTATACCGTTGTCAAGGTCAAGAGCACAGGAATAGCTAAACGTTTCTGAGGCCACTTCATTAGTAAGGCCTCTTTCCAAGCTAAGTGCTTTTACAGTGCAGGCCAGTCACTAAATCATCTCCATGACTGCAGTGGAAAAACGTTCCTGGAAAGCCTCCTCCTGGGATTCAATTTCTAACACATGTTGAAGAGAAGATACTGTAATTAAGTGCTCCTTATATGAGTTAAGGTTTCAGATAATGTGTAATATACCCGGCTTCACTTCTTCAGTAGTTCCGTTTTTCATACGGACATAGCTGTAATGCAATCAATCAACCCAAATGATCTATGTATTAAAGAGGAAAACATATCAGGAATTAACCACTTGCCGCCCGCCCGTTGTAAAAAAACGGACAGACGGCACTGCTGCATCGGCGGGTTGCTGTCGCCAGACGGCATTTTTTTTCTGCTCGCGCGAGCCCCCTAGCGGGCACATTAAACTATTCACTTGGAATACAAACAGCAGTAACAACGAAGTAGAAGTTCGAATTCTTCTTCTACTCCACTTCTCCACAAAGAAATGTTTTTATGGACATATGTGTCCCATTGTTTTGTGACCTATGTCCTGCAAGGCATACAGGCTGAAGGCATAAATCTAGTGAAAACATAGATATTGATTATTGATAATACAGAGAGCTGGACTTTTTTACTGAATATAAAGACTGTTCCCTCCTGGAGCACATGGAACTGACACACATCAATGCAAGTAAATTGCAATACTATAAAATGGCATAGTATCAATGCTAAGGCATCAAAACATGTGTTTTGATGCCTTAGCATTGATTCAATTGCCAAAAAATACAACAAAAATGCCCCAAAACGCAAAGTTGTGAATGGGTCTCAGTGATGAAGTCTTAGATTTAAAAATAAATTCACTAAATACAACCATTGGTGTTATTCATAGCTGCAAATTATCAAATCAACAGCTGAACATAATAAAACATATACCATCAAATATATACGAATGCTGTAAATGTCCTAAGAATGCTCGTGCAGCGCTGCCCTCTTGTGA